ACGGTCTTCTTAGTGCTAAGATCGCTTTGTACAACGGCACTCAGGTCTACAAGAGGCGGAGGAGGTGTTTGATTGGTAGTTAATGCCGCGTTCAGCAATATTCCAGGTCTGTAACGGCAGTGTGTAAATAATCCAATCTGGACCAGACTATCCAGTGATAAACAGCATGAGCACCGTTTTACGTAGTTGGGATGCGATGACGTCGCAACAAAGTCAACGAGCCTGACCACCCGATCCAGGTAGTGGAATCTTACAAGCATGGTCTTGCGGGGGAACTAGATCAATTCAAGGAATGGTCAGACATGCAAGATTTTGGACAGAAACACCAAGTTCCTGGACACGCTTATTTAAAGCCCGTTGTTATACAGCTGGACTGTGACGGTAACACAACAACCAGCTAAGCATATCAAGCCTGGGACTGGCAGACTTTAGCTTCCATAGATTGAGCATATTCTAGTTCAAACCTTAGTTTATTATGGCTTTGGTAACTGTTCCAATAAATGAATGTGCCTACTTCCATATCTATCCCCCTTACGTTGTATTGTCATGTATCGCCTGCAAGACGTCTCGGCAGATCAATATAAGACAGGACTCAACAGTATACAGCTGCCGAGGGGAGGTCTGACGTCAAACACCGACCACCAGATGTCGGGGTGTTAATCATATCAAGGTTGTCTGACACAGGTATTATAAATAATTTACCCCAAGTCAAACATACACCATTTGGCCACAGTCTGGACGTTCCACGCGTTTATCGCGGTCTTTCTGACACTGATTACCCTCAGTGGAGTTGGAACCGTCCTGCGGTTTTGTACACTTTTTGAAACAGCTCACTCGGCATGTCTGTGGAACTGGAATATACTGATTATAATAAGATGATGTTCTTTTAGACATCATATAATGTATGCAGTGGTACCCCTCTTGTTGGACATCATTGAATATGTGTAACAGTTCCCTTGTTAGAATCCCATTATTGATGTAATACCCATCCCACCCCCTCTCTCGAACATCCCACCCCCTCTCTCGAACATCCCACCCCCTCTCTCGAACATCGGCAAATGATTGTAATGATATCATTATGGCTAGGGAAAAGGGTGTCAGAAATGTAGAATGGTGCCCATCGTTTGGACATCAGAACGATCGGCATCTACGACATCATCAAATGAATGTAATGATTCTGGTCTTTTGGGACATCATCAAGTTCTTGTATGAAATGGTATCCCTCTTTGGGCACATCCAGTGCAGTGGTATCCCATTTGGGCACCATAAGCTGTATGAAATGGTATTCTTCTTTTGGTACATCCACTGTAATGATATCCCTCTTTGGGTATCACCAATATCTGCATAGTCATCTCAGAGTCGCATGTTCTTCAGCCTTTGTACTTGACCCTTTAATTGCGCCAGAATACATCTTGCCAATCAAGGTTTGATGCATATTTGAAGAAATAGAAGACAGTTTAGCGTTCCTACACAACGCAGATTTCAGATCCATACAAGGAAATCGTGATGATATATGCTATATTGTGTAAGAGTAGTGTTTAAGTGGATTCGTGTGATGATCCATGACCACAAACTCACGTTCATTTGTACATAGCCGACTTACAAATATGTACAGCGCCAGCGCATGGCCGACAAAGTGTACTTCAGACATTACGCAGTGATCCATAGAACTCGGTTTGTTTATACGTGTAAAGGGATTATCCCTTTACAGTAACCAACCTAATGTAGTCAACTAGCACGTAAAGCTAATTCCTAGTCTACTTCATTATCCGATTAATTGTATCATGGCCTGTCAAGGGACTTATTTACGGGCGCGTTACGCTATCAAACGCTCGCGGTACGTTTCTAGACACACGGTCCTTTTTAATCGGAGTGTGATCGCATGCTTGCACACGCCACCCAGCGGGCATTCAGGGTTAATAAAGGTTCCCAGCAGAGTATGCTGGCTGTAAGAAGTGATTAATGGATAGAGTAGTCAATCTTCGCTCTTGGTATGCCATCGTACCCGGCGGCGTGGTTCGTTGACCATAACAACAATCAGTGGTTTGTCTGGTCCAGACATGCCACTTTACAGGCCACCGTCATACAGGTGGAGTGAGTGAGTGAGTTTAGTTTTACACCGCACTCAGCAATATTCCAACTATATGGCGGCGGTCTGTAAATAATCAAGTGTAAACCAGCATTGGCGGATCCAGAGGGGGCGGACGGTTCGGACACACATCCCCATGACAAAATTCCTGATCCGATGACATGTGTCAACCAAGTCAGCGAGCCTGAACACCCGATCCCGTTAGTCGCCTCTTACGGCAAGCATGGGTTACTGAAGATCAATATTCTAACCCGGATCTTCACTGGTACATGCAGGTGGAATGTCTTGAAAAACAGCATTAATCAACAAACGAGTCCATACAAATGTTTTCTCGACTACCAGAATGACCAAACACCGCAGTACAGTGGACTTACAAACACCTCATTACACACACTCTAGGCTGTGATAACGATGGTACATTGCGAACAACAGCGGGAAAATACCCCAGCTTATCTGCTTACATCCGGGTATCTGTCAAGTTGGGACACTTAAGTGAGAATGCATTGAACAGGTGTTCTGCATTTGTTAACTGATTACGTTATGTCACGTACACTACAGAGTGGAGACAGGATTGATGGATGGGTTTAATCTTTAGTTTCTTATAGGTATAGGGTAGGTGCTGAGCAGTACCTATAAAGCTGAAAAGTTCAAATCCAACACAACAATGACGTGGAGTATACTGCACAGTTGTACAACCACTAACAGACGTGATAAGTCTTCAAGACTCGATAATTTAACACCACAGGATGTGTTATTTCACACTCTACGTATGGTGGGGATAGGTACTGTTTCACGTGTGTTGGTAATAAACATGTTGCATGCATGTTATATCAGGGCTCCATGTATTGGAGTCTGGTGCAGGCAAACCAGCGGTTTATAGTCGCGATCTCAGGAACACTGTGGCTGTGGCATACATCCATGACATACACTGAGACCATGAGACCTCATATGGCGACAGTTACAACCTGTCGGATAGATCTAGTAGGGACGTGAATTCGGACTCGAATCCCGCATGGCCATTTTCTCAAACCCGTGGGTGCTTGGAATTCTTTGTTGTCCTGGTAACTGAATTAATGTCAAGGTAGATGTTTCTGAAATCCTTGTCTACATTACTTCCATGTCGATTCTAGGTATCCCATCCTTATGGTCGGTTTTACATAATACTGGACAGTTGGTACCTGATTCTGCGTGAGCTTCCAGTTGCTATGGCCTTTTTTCATACCCATGGATGCAATCCTCTTGGACATTGTCTGATAATCGAATTACTGTGATTGGTAAACACATTATTCTACTTCACTACCGATTCCAGGTAGAATTGGTTTTCGGTAAGCACAGTCGGTCGTGAGGACCAGCTAGACTGGCATTGGGTGAACTCGTGACCCGGAGTGGACCGTCTGTGAGTCACGATGTCCCGTCTACTGGCCACTGTGACATTCACACACCCAAACAACATCCACACACTTGCTATCAGTCATCGCTGTATTCATGCTGTACACATATACCCGACTTCTGATGTAGTGCGTGGTGGCAGCGATTACATATTCATGATGAATCAGGAGATCTAAGATGGTGGACCTACGTTTAAGGAACCTAATGCTGAAAATTCCCCGATTATACAGAAGCTATACAGATTTGCTTCATGTGCAGGTTACTTCCAAAATTAGCTGCGATTTCCACTCCAACACACCTTTCTTCTTTTTACAGCTAACTGGTAACGAAATGACTAGAGGAAATGGGTGATGTGATGGGCGATGAGTATTTTACTACCGCTTCGGTCACTTCTGGGTGACGTATGATGTCGGACTGGCACCTACAGACGCCACATCAGATTTGCATAAGGTTTCGTTCGATTTTAACTGATGATAGAGGATCAGATACAAACAATTTAAAGTTGCATCGTGAACTTATCAATTCTTATCAATGTATTTGTATATATTAGCGTGCATGAGCGAGTGGTATACAGACAACAAAGTATTCATTGTATCAGTGACCCCATAAAATTGAAAGAAATCCATGCCACAAGATGATATTGCTTATTTCCCACCACTGCACTCAGTAATGTATATGAGAGCGATCTGTGAATAATAGTATCTGACCTTACAGTGCAAAAGCTGTTCCAGAAATGTGTCTGACATAGGTACAGAACTAATTATGAACACACTGAATGACCATATTAGATCCGTGAATATTCAAACATGACCAAATCAAAATTAGAGGTAATCCACTCCAAAGTGGAAATACATGAAAAAGTAGGGTTCATCTCAAATTAAATCATATTGAAACACAGATTTAGGTTGACACTCAAAACTGGCTCTACAATTTGTCAAGTAAGGGGCAGCAACAATAAGAACCAGGCCCTACTATAATGACAGTACTTTTGTCACTGTCACATGCAAACAGCCCCGTCTCTGTCCTGACATCAGAATAGTGATATAGCCGGCAGGAATTTGCTGCTTACAACGGACCTCTGATCTCTGTAGGGGCGGTGGGGTAGCCAGTTGGTTAACACGGCAGCTCCTCAAGCTGAAGGCCTGGTTCGAGTCCCCACATGTTTACAATGTGTGAAGCCCATTTCCGGCAATATTTCATCAACATGATGCAGGGGCCCCAGAAATGGGTTTCACACATTGTACCTCAGGAATCGAACCCTGATCTTCTGTGTGACGAGTGAACGCTTTAACTTCTAGCTTACTTGACCATCCTCTTTCACAATGTTTGGTACAGTGTGTGAAGCCCATTTCTGGTGTCCCCCACCGTGATATTGCTGGAATATTGCTAAAAGTGGCGTAAAACCACACTCGCTCACTCACTCACGCTTTCACAATGTGAGTGAACACCTTCACCAGTAGACCACCTGTCCAGTCAATGGTGAAGTGAATGTGTCCCTGTAATCAACACTACAAAACACAGGTTACAAACATAGTCTTTATTTTGGCAATCACTGAAAACAGCTGGATGGAATGTAAAGAAATATTGTTTGGACGGAATATGAATTCAAATGATGTAAATAACATAAAACACAATGAGAATCACCTGTGGTTTGTGTTCCAGGGTGTCTCAACTGATGTGGTTCAGCTGGTGTAAACAGAACACATCATATACAACACACATGGACGGGGTGAGAGAGCTGCAGCTGCCAATTTAAGTCTTTGGAAACGTAACAGCTTGTACTGGTAGAACTACCTCGCTGTAGCTCACCTTGTCATATATTCAACCAATCCAGTGATTTGAGGAAGCAGTATTTTGCAGTCTGGTATCATTTGAACCATTGAATGACTCGCTTGTAGGGCAGTACATGTTTACCTTTTTCGAGAACACCTTGTGTCATCACAGACTTTCAGCGAGCCATTCATAGAAATTTCACTGCTATGCTGAAGATTTTTCAATCTGTGGTATTGATGCTGTATGAATTATTTTGTTAGATCCAAATGAAGAATTCTTTAATTACTCTAGCATTCATGACCAGCTCCTTTAGGCCATGGAGTGCTAGAGCTGTTCGGAAAGTTCAGATGGAATAATGTATGAAAAAGCCAGTATTGCTTTACCCCAACTTTTGAAGTAGTGAGTTTAGGTTTACATACGACACCCTTGATGTTTACAGCACTTAAATGTTCATATAAAACTCCATTCATGTAGAATAAGTGCCACCTCCAAGTTGATACCAAACATAAACCCAGAAGAAACTGTCCTAACAGAATTGATTGTGAAACCCACTAAGAACTGTTACACCATTAATCTAATTAAGGGCTCTATTGCAGGAAGGCTATACATGTAAATGTCAAGGTACATATGATCTCCAGTCAAATGTGAAAGTGCCTAAAAGTATGTGTAGGAATTATCATATCCCAAACATGTCTCAGTTTAGTTGCGACGTCAGGGAGACAAGATGAGTGAGGCGTCCACCATATTGGCCTCTCTGAGAGCGGTCTCCAGTAGGTCTGCCCGGGCGTTCATCCCCTCCCTCATCTTCCAGTCCTTAAGCATTGTGTACACCTGCACACAGAAGAAAAACATACTTAAAGGGGCATGTATATTAATAGAATGCATGAAACACATCCAAGTCAAGCATCCACAGATCAATTTATTCAGAGAGAGAGAGAGAGAGAGAGAGAGAGAGAGAGAGAGAGAGAGAGGAGACAGAGAGAGAGAGAGAGAGAGAGAGATTAAGAGAGAGAGAGAGAGAGACAGACAGATAGATAAACTTGAACAGTGATTAAATTATAACTACCCAACCACTGTCATTGATGAGGAATACATATCACGATATCTTTCATTTACATCGGACCCACTCAAAGGTCAGTAACTCTCATACCAGTCTGATGTGGTGGACAAGTATGTTTCCTGTTGTCACATTTTGCCTTGGTTCTACATAAATACAACATGTAAACACAAACAATTACCTGCAGCTGGGAGTTATCAGTATATATTTCTCTGAAGCCGTTGATGTCCTCTGTAAGGAACCCGAGTCTGTTAGCCAATAGATCCCAGTCTCGTCTGTGAATCTTCTCCGCGATTTCCCTCAAGATGGCATCGGATGGCACCTGCCTCACTGTCATACGACCTTGAGGACTGATGGTGGTTGGTCGATATGTCGGGGGTGGGTTGCCAGGGGTGAAGCCTGCTTGACGACTTACGTCTCGACTGCTGAACTGTATAAAGCAAACACATTCACGTGACAATCTACTTGAGTTTTTTTTTTTATCAGCTGAGAATCATAGGTTCGGAAGATTTTGGTGAGTGTGGGGCTGGCATGGGGAATGGCATCATAACATGGTGTTAGTTTAAAAAGGGAGTATTTCAATTAATGAAGATAAGACAAAGGTTGTTCTGTGTGTTTGTTTGTTTGTTTGTGTTTCTTTAGGGGTACTTAGAGGTAACTCCAATAATTAGATAATGAAACACTGCACTACCCTGCTCTTTCAGCTGTCAACAATAAGCCTTAAATACCACAAAATGGTACATACAACCTTTTTGAACCTAAATGAACTTGAATCAATAGTTTCTATGAATGGGTGTGTCTCAGGCCTTACTTGATCTTCCTAAGATTTGAGTAAGGGCTGGTCTTCACCACCATGGTTATAATGCAATATAAGTAAGTCTTGGACCCATTAGTCACACCCAAACACTAATAATGATAATACAATCCCACCTCAGGCAGGTTTCTGTGGACCCTCTCTCTCATGTCCTGGGGTAGTATGTTGAAGGCTAGGACACTGACCAGCACTGACTGGGGCAGCTTCATCACCCCGTCCACAAACTGGTCCTCGTTGATCATCCCTAAATAGACCATGGCATAATACATCATTACTAACCACTGAACACATTCATGAGTTTAGGCAACTGGAAGCGACTGCATGAAATTGATATCAAAGGGGAATAACTCTATCAAAACCACAAATTATCTCCCCTTGGTCAAGCAACCCCTTCCAATATTTGTTTTCACTTAGTAGTATCTAGAAGTTGTGTGAGAGAGAATATATCTTGCAGTACACCGGTCATTGGGTGTTTCAACATTAGTAAGATGTTTTCACTCTGCTGTCAATAAAATAAACAATTCACCTCTTCCTTGCGGATCCATTTGTTTGAAAAACATGCTGGTCACTCTCTGGATGTCATCCTGAAAGCCAGATATTAACAGTGAATTTAACAAAATGTTCTGTAAGGTCCACTTCTATTTATAGTCTTTTCAGTGCTAGGTTACATTTAAAGCATTTTTAATCCTTTCTTGATCATTTCACTTATTTTCCTGAGAAAATAAAATATTTTTTACAGCACAGGGATACATTGTATGAAAGATAACATATTTATCTCTGATTGTAAGTGTCACAACAATCCAAGGGTACAGTACCGAGTTATCGTCAGGATAAACTCGCCTCATGATGCGAGACAGTATGTCCTTGTTGAGTGGATTGCCATTGTTGAGTAGACTGTAGATTGCTGTCACAAGAAGTTAAAAAAAATATACATATCGTTCATTATATCTGGAATCTATTTACCAGACAAAATACACAATCAATTGTGAGCCGTATGACTGAAAGGTTTTTATTTATTACTTATACACATACTTTAGTTCAGGGGAAACAGATCCTTGTTGAATATATTGAATGTGACAGCATCTGAAGCATATATTTCAGCTGAACAGATGAAGGATCTAAACAATTCACAGAAACAACTAAAAGCCATAGCCATATTCTGGCAAATCTTGGTGAGAGGTGAGATTGGAATAATTTAAGAAAACAAATGACAAATGCAGAGATTCATGGTCTGATTTATGTCATTAATATTGTATCAAGTCATTTAGAATATTGTCACATAAAATATTAAAAAGTTGCACATGACTCAAATATCATCTGAATGCTATGACACTGGCTGAATGACGTTACTCACCTCTTGCCTTGGTGCGATTGTCCTGCATCTCTGCCCACTTCAGAGCCCGGAGGAAAGTCTCAAAAGAAATCGTTCCATCCCCAGCCTTGAACTGTTTCAGGATCTGATACAGTACAGAAACAATAGAAATATATGTTGAAGACACAGGTTGTTTGTTTGTCTGTTTTTAATCACCTCACTCAGTAATATTCACGCTTCAGCAACCTGAAAAATGAAGTCTGGATCAGAAAATCCAGTCGCTGACATCATGAGCAACAATCCACATTGGTGATTTTGATGACATATTGCGAACCAAGAGTCATTTGACATCCGGTCTACTAACACCCCTCTAAAGATCAGCAGGGGACCCATTCTGACATGGCATGCCGTGGAGCTTCTGACTGACAGCTTGTTAGTAGTTACAGGCTCCATGAAATAATTAGTATGCATTGAAGCATCTGCTTGTAATTTGTATGCAAGATATCTATGAACTAAACGTGATCATTTAAATAATGTAGCAGACCCACTACCATAGCTAATATTTTCAAACCGTATGTCTCTATTAAAAAGACCTAATAATGCGACCTGCCTAGTGAAACCTTCAGAATCCATGCTAATGTATATCCAGTTTACACTGCAGAGATAAGAGACTTTCTTCATTTTTGCTGATGTGTTCAGCAGATTTTAACAGATCCTAAAACTTCAACAATCGGGACTTGCCAGATATTCAGTATATTCTCTAGTAACCAACATATTTACAATAGAAATGTAATTAATTTTAGTCACTCTATTGCCTATGGCATACCTGAGAGAGATAGATGCCCTTCCATTTTATTATTGTTCCCTATTGATAACATGAATCTGTCATCACCTACAAATTGGTCAGGGCTGATTTTGAATTGTGACACTTTTACAGTGGGTTGACAAATGTTTCACAAATCAGTGCCTTTGTGGGATTTCTCTTTTGCTTTATGAATTATGTAATAATACATAAGATATTATTTGTCAATAAACAAATTTGTGATCAAATGTGTCATAGGCAAGGAATGTAAGCATTACATTCTGGTGACTTTTGGCTCTTGTTTGAAGCCAAGTAAGGTATAACATCTTTCCACATTATATGCTAAGTTCATAACAGCAAATACACATAGTAAATTCATAACAAACATGTTTATGACAAACTGACAGACATAATCAACTGTTTAGTTAGTCCATGCCACTTGCGGGGTTGAAATGCCTACAAAACTGTTATGACAAAAACATTGTGGGTGATTTGAGTTGTTTATAACCATACATAACTGCATGTAGAAGCAAAATTTATTGAAACAAGAAGACAAAGTCATCAATATTCCCCGCTCAATGGCAAAATACTCTTCATGAATATGTCTACGAGTTATGATTATGTCAAATGTTTTGGCATGTATACAGCTAAGTGGAAGGAGAGTACTGAAAGGTTTCAAAGTTCTGCTCCAGAAAGGAGCACTACGACCAAATTCAGTTGAAGCCAAAATTGTTGCCATGGAAATGCAAAAAACCCCATTTTTTTCAGAAATCCCAAACTAGCAAAAGGCACCAGTTCACCACTAGACCTACCTATGTATGAAATTTTGTGATGAATCAGTGTACATGTTTTAAGTTCTGCTCTAATAAAGAGCACTAGCACCAATTTCAGTCAAAGTGAAACTTGTTGCAATGGAAACGCCAAAAGCACTTTATTCAGAAAACCAAAACTACCAAAGGGGCACCAGTAATTCCCACCAGACCTATCTATGTACCACGCTTGGTGAAGAAATAGTGAACAGTTTTAAAGCTCTGCTCCGGAAAATAGCACTACCACCAATTTCAGTCTGTCAAACTTGTTGCCATGGAAATGCAAAAATATTTTATTCAGAAATCCAAAACTACCAATAGGCACCAGTTCACTACCAGATCTACCTATGTATGAAATTTCGTGATGAAACATTACACGGTTTTAGAGTTCTGCTCCGGTAAAGAGTACTAGCACCAATTTCAGTCAAAGTGAAACTTGTTGCCATGGAAATGTCAAAAACACTTTATTCAGAAAGCCAAATCTACCAAAAGGCACCAGTACCTCACCAGACCTATCTATGTACCAAGTTTGGTGAAGAAATAGTGAACGGTTTTAGAGTTATGCTCTGGAAAGACAAATATGGACGGACAGACGGATGGACAGGTGGGCCGGAGTCCATTTTAATACCCCCGCAAAAACGCGTTGTGGGGATAAAAATGTGAAGGGGAAATAAAAATAAAGACGTAATAGAAAGAATGGTTTACAAGTTTTTGCCACATGCTAATATCATTGTTTGCCATAACTGTTACATACCTTCATTTACCTTTTACATACCGGTACATTATTATTAACTCACTGACACTTACATTCCTGATGAAGGCATCTGACTGTAGCTGTGATGCCCTGAGCTTGTCCTCTGTCAGTACCCCATCTACAGTACACCCCAGCTGCTGAAACCGCTTCCACAGTCTCTCCACCTCCGCTATACTCACTGTAACACAAACAACCTCAGTACATACACAGTACACCTACAGTACATTCACAGTACATCCCAGTTGCTGAAACCACTTCCAGAGTCTCTCCACCTCCGCTATACTCACTGTAACACAAAACAACTTTAGTACATCCACAGTACATCTTCAGTACATCCCAGCTGCTGAAACCGGCTTCCAGCCGCCTCTCAACCTCTGCTATACTCACTGTAACACAGTACATCTTCAGTACATCCCAGCTGCTGAAACTCTTTTTGTGTTTCTTAAATGTACATACACTCAGTAATTAAAACTGACCATATTTTTCAATATTTCGTGTTGCCTTTTTTAACATGATGACTTATGTTGATTGTAGCCACACATATTTTCAACATTTTTGTGACATTGACATTTTGTCCAAAATTGGGGTTGGTCTGTTAAGCTTTCTGTACTCATTGAGTTAGTCATTTTTTCATTTTTATTGCTGCTTTAAGGCCAATCTATGCCCGAAGTACATATTATAACTGTTCAGGGCTTAGTCAATTTGAAAACTATTGTAACGCTACTATAGAAGTCAATCGGAAACTATTTGCTTTTGTGTAACCTATATTCACTGAAACCTAACCCAGAGAGAATAATGGCTCTTGTGCCATGGGCCTCTCATCGAGATGTTTAAGTTTTCACATGTCCATTGGAATTTGTGTGCTGTTTTGTCTGAGACAGAATTTTTTATTTTCAGTTAGTGCTCCAATTTCCTAATTCTTTTCTCTGAACGAAGAAGTGAGTTAATACTGACTGACTGAGTTTAGTTTTACGCCGCTTTTAGCAATATTCCAGCAATATCACGGGCGGGGACACCAGAAATGGGCTTAACACATTGTGCCCATGTGGGGAATCGAACCGGGTCTTGGTGACAAGCCAACGCTTTAACCACTAGGCTACCCCACACCCCAGTGAGTTAATAAGTGACATTGGTGTCAACAGTATTTCATGTATATCCAGGCATGCCAGCTCATTGTGGGGAAAGCAGTGACGCAGGTCAGGAACATCTGCCACTTTGATGGAACCAACAAACACAGGTATGGTGCTGACACATCGCCTGGAAACATAATCTTGGTGATCTGTGATTCAAGCTGCTACATGGTGAATTGCGGCACCTTGGAAGATTAGGGCATCTACGTCCCCATGAAAGAGTCTCCAAGGAATCATTTCTACCTGCATATCAGATCATCATGCACCTGAGGACAAATTAGTATTTCTGGCATTTCCAGAAACTGATGACTTTTTTCTAACAAATACCAGGTGCCCCTTCAGAATATATAAAGCTTGGGTCATAAATAATGGTATTTCTAAGTTGTGGCTTTGGGATGAAACTGCTTTATCCTGGGTAGAAACTGATAACTGACAAATCCGATTTCATGAAAAACATCAGGAACTTACAAACTGTTGTACATATGTAACAGTGATTAGTTTTTTCTGAATAAAACACTGTATGTAAATATGTATAACAATAAACTGCTTGTCAGATATTGTCAGAACAATGGCAGGAAAGACTGCATTAACATATCATGTTTCTGTTGTAAGTAGGCCTTTGTAGACAATGACAGATGAGGGTCACCATACCAGCCCATTGATAGATAACCAATTGTTCTTTAAATAAATATTCAGTGCATAAATTACTGAATACACCTAAACAATAGTTCCTATTCATATCCAAATTACAATGGGGGAATGGGGTCTTTGTCCTAACTTTAACCTTAGAACTTTAAAATGGGGACTCAATAACCAGCCAAACTAAGGAATCCTCTATAATTGTTCATCATGTTGACAACAATTATACACACCAGGTAGTCAAGGTTAATTAGACCAGGAAGTGAACACACTGTTCATATTGACAACACCTGTTGACTGGACTCCCTGGGGAGTATGACAAGTATGCACAACCTGTGAACACCCAGCCACACCAGGTGTGACATCTGTATGTAGTGTGCTGAGAAAAACAATATGGATGTCCTCAGAGGCTGATAAAGTTGTATTGGTACATAGCCCTGTATCTTTACAGATACCCCAATATGAATTAAAGACACCACAAGCCAGACTCTGATAATTGTAAGCAGTGTTTCTGATTGGCAAAGTGGCTTTAATTTCACCAAACAGCATGGCCAATACAGAGAAAATTACTACCAGTATTCAGTTAGTTATCAATTCTTCATAAAGATCTCTAAAGTTCAGAATAAAAACTTTAACCATACAGCCAGTTTTTGACGAAGGCCAGTACCAGCAATGCCTTACAAAGTCAGCCAGTGAGTGAGTGAGTTTGGTTTTACGCCGCTTATAGCAATATCATGGCGGGGGACACCAGACATGGGCATCACACATTGTGCCCAAGAGAGGAATCAAACCTGGGCCTTCGGCGTGAAGAGAATACGCTTTAAGCACTAGGCTACCACACCGCCCTGCCTCACAAAGTGCGTGGGGCGGTGGGGAAGTCTAGTGGTTAAAGCGTTGTCTCGTCACGCCGAAGACCCGGGTTCGAATCCCCACATGGGTACAATGAGTGAAACCCATTTCTGGTGTCCCCTGCCGTGATGTTGCTGGAATATTGCTAAAAGCGGCGTAAAACCAAACTCAGTCAGTCAGTCAGTCACAAAGTGCGTTCAGTAGGTTAATAGTGTATGTTAATTAAAGTAGTATGAAATAACTGGGTTTTCTTTACTTTTTTTGAGTAGTATATAAACCCTGAAGTCTGTCCCTGGCAAGTATTCAGCCAATTAACACTATCTGATGCCTTGAAGCACTACTGTTATTACTGTCATACAACATACAATTTAAAACATTTGCTTACATAATGGTATACAGGAAAATAAGCCCACCTGGTAAAAGGGCATCACTTGACATTACATTAATGAATACATTTATAAATTGTTTTCGCTTGATTAAACCCATGTCATATCATATTCAGAATTTTGTAAAACATATCACACATATGTTGCAATAACAACATTAGTCAACCAAACAAGTCTGACATATTAACTAGATATAGATGATACAAAATTGCATAGCCAATAGATTATTATGATGTTGGCATATATGGAGATGGTCAGAGTAAGTTGCCATGACAACAGGTCAATATAGCTGGTTATTCTGATGGCAGTCACAATGTTACATTCCACTGCAGAGTGTTAATCACATGGTGATGTACGTCATCAGAGAGATAAGCCACACAAACCCAGCGTGCAGATAATTCCCCTTACAGGGTGAAGCGATGGGCATGTTGATGTCATCTCTTGTCAGATCAATAACTGCTACGTACATACAGCGATTTATGCAGGCTTAGTCAGAGGTGATATTTGGGCAAAGTCTGTGAGAAATCCATAATTGGAAATAAAAGTATCCAATATTTGGTTAATACAGTAACAGGAACTGTTATTGTTTTATAGAACTAGAAGTGTATTTTACTGACAACATGACCATTAAACAGGGTGAGGCTGTAAAGCTTGGTTCTAAATATCAATGCATGACAAGCACTGTTAAAATAGTGTTATTGATAAATCCGTGAAGATCTGGGTTAGAAATGATGTTCAGTAACCCATGCTTGTCGTAAGAGATGACCAACGGGATTGGGTGGTCAGACTCGCTGACTTGGTTGACATATGTCATCGTATCCCAATTGTGCAGATCAATGCTTATGCTGTTAATCACTGGATTGTCATGTCCAGACTTGATTTTTTACAGACCGCTGCAATATAACTGGAATATTGCTGAGTGTGGCGTAAAACTAAACTCACTCACTCACAGTTAATCGATAACGAAAGCTCCGTTTAAAATAACCGTATTTCAAATCTGTGACAAAAGTTATTTCTGTTCATGATGAAATTACTTTTGTGCCTCATTCTCCAGAAATTCTACTGACTAACGAAACATTTTAAGTAAATATATGACCTGCTTTAGTACTGTTTGGCCTAGCTGAGATGACAGTGAGGTCTCAGTTGTGAGGTCACAGTAACTGTGCCCCACTGAGTAGCTAGAGAAGATACATGACTACAGCCACCAACATTCCTGCAAGTCAGCTAGCCTGACTACTTACCTGTGTTGACAGGTAAATAATACAGTGACTGTTGTTCTCACTGACAAGTCACATATGACGGCTATAAATCAGAATCAGTTCGAGAAGCTAAAAGTTGCTATGAAATATAACTAAATAAAACTGAGAGCGCATTTTAACATAGCTAACAAGTTAACGCTTGTTTCATTCAAGCAGGACAAGCTACAAATGTTGAGGAAAAGTGAATTAAGGCCTACACCAAACCTCTCAACTTGTCTTGAAAACAAATTTATGAGGCTGTGACTAGCCAGCTCCCTCTCTTGTACCTCGGCACATAAGGAGAAAGTCCTTTCTGAAGGGACAAAAGGATTAGTCTCCTTCTTCTTTTGATGAAGTGATTCGTGGGACATAACATCAGTCATACAAGTGTATAAATAGGGGTAAATTAAAACAAGGACTTCGGTTTGATGCTATTCAAACCTGTCATAAAATCCATGTTCAAACCTTCGGATTATCTTGAAAAACAAAAACATCATATCTATTTCAACGAGTTTCACATAAAAATATCTAGCACATTAATCTTGCCATGTTTACGATATCAGTGTATTTAAGTATGTTTTTGAATGACAAGTGTTATACCCATATTGATAGTGATTTGTTATCTTAGAACGAGAGGTGTGACTTCCTGCACGCTGTCAACATGAGAATACCTGCCGGCACCTCCAGCCTGTCAACTCAGAGTTCATGTGAAGTACCATACACCTATCAGAACAGGTCATCATTCAGAATTTAGGTGCCCTTGTCAAGATGGCAAGGAAGAGTAAATCAGTGGGAAAAGGTGTCAGACTTTCCATTACTTTTTAAGTTTTGGCTAGAAATTTGTTGAAAACTGTGTGACAGTTCATTCATAGAAACCCTGGTAGAGTACCAAACCTGTCAGATGTCTCAAAACAGCTGATGACACATTCTTGCTGA